TTCCACTACATTGTTTAAAAAATCAGTCCCACTTCTGCTGTGGTCTTACTGACTGCAACATCGGCCTGATTTTTACCCCCAGCAGGGATCTGATTGCACAGCTCTACCTCATTCAGGAGTGCTTGCAGCCTGCAGGCACTCCCTCTAGCCAAAACGTCTTTGCCATCCATCATGCTAGGAAATTCTCATCACCTGGTTGAGCAACTGGGAGCAAGATAAATCAAAAAGGCTAACAGCCAGATGGGTTTCATTAGCCCATTGATTTTTTCCCTGGGCATTCTTTTAATTATGTGTTAAACCTGGTTGAGCAACTGGGAGCAAGATAAATCAAAAAGGCTAACAGCCAGATGGGTTTCATTAGCCCATTGATTTTTTCCCTGGGCATTCTTTTAATTATGTGTTAACTCAGCTACGGTGTAAGCAAATGGCCTTGTTTTTTAAAAAGGGACAGACAGACAGAAGGAAAGGGATTGGATGCAGGACATTATTTAAAAAGACATACTTTGGGAAATTGCCCCCCTTTCCCCCAGCTTGCTTTTAAGCCTGCCAAGACAGAGACAGACTGACAGCAAACGGCTGGAGGCTTTATTAAAGGGATCAGTGATGCATTGCCGTATTTGCCGGAATCAAGTGCTGTGACACAGGCCACCCTTCCTGCAGATGTCAAAAAGCATCTTCGCCAGTCGTTGTTAAGCACGATCGCCGACAGATCTGACCCAGTGCAGTAACCGGTCATTGTAAGACAGAGAGAAAATTGCTAACATTTTGCTCTTTTCACGGGAATTGAACACTATCCATGTCTCAAAATATCATTAGGAGGTTGTACAGGCTGCATGTAGAACAGGGCTTTCAGACAAGCTGGGGGCTGTTTACAAGGAAGGAAGGAAGGAAGGAAGGAAGGAAGGAAGGAAGGAAGGAAGGAAGGAAGGAAGGAAGGAAGGAAGGAAGGAAGGAAGGAAGGAAGGAAGGAAGGAAGGAAGGAAGGAAGGAAGGAAGGAAGGAAGGAAGGAAGGAAGGAAGGAAGGAAGGAAGGAAGGAAGGAAGGAAGGAAGGAAGGAAGGAAGGAAGGAAGGAAGGAAGGAAGGAAGGAAGGAAGGAAGGAAGGAAGTCTCAGCACTGGCTTCCAATTCTCTTGGCTCCTACTCTACTGTGGGGCATCTGAAGGAGATAACTGTGTTAGGCTACAGGCATGGAATCAGCGAGGACCCGAAAGGACACTTTGCTCCTCAGAAGGCACCTGGATGATGCTGCACTTCATGGAAGCCTGGTGGGAATCCTCTTCTTTCAAATCGAAATGTTGAAACCCGAAAGCCGATGGCAATGCTTTAATGGACAGATAGCCATGCTGGCTACATATATCCTTCGATATCAAAACCACCGTGTCTTAGAAGAGTTGCTGGGAAACTTGAGCACAAAGATGCTGGGCATTCAGGTCCTGTTGAGGGGCTCTCGGGGGGCATCTGGTGGACCAGTTTGAGAAACAGAATGCTGTTTTGCATGAGTCTTGGGCCTGATCCACCAGGGTTCCATTTATAGTATATTTTTAGCTTAGCATCAAGGTGCCTAGTAGTGCACACCTTGCTTTCTTCTGCAGACCTGTTATTCAGGTCACCTCTTTCACTTCCCATTGCAGGTTTCAAAACTGACCCACTTTCTTTTTCTTTTTGCCTTGTGCTCCTCAGATCTCTACCTTCTTAGGACTTAGGATCTTTCCACCCCGCTAATATTTCCTTTTGCTCTCACCAAACTGCAAATAAATCAATACCCACGAAGCGCAGAATGTTTTCTGGGAGGTTGAGCACCATCTCTTCCCACCACTGCAGAACCAGCCTTGGGGCCAACCTGCACTCTTAACAAAGCAAGCAGTTTAGTCCACTGAACAACAAAACTCTGTGATGCTTCCCTTTGGCCCGACATTGATTTCAGTTGGGTAATGAATAATAGTCTCCTCCCTCTCTTTACACCCACATTGCTACAGAGGGGGAAAAAAAATCTGCTTTGTTCCACCAACAAACCCACCAAGTATTGGTTGGGGAAAGCAGGATTAACACCACAATGCATCTCAGTGGCTGGCTTGTTCAGCCTTATGTTGCATATACATGCACAGTTGGTGAGGGCAGCTGAAATCATCCTGCTGGAAGTATCAAAACGCAGCCCCCATCAACCACTGCCAGCCCTGGAACACTCAGTGGCAAGAACCAGAGTTGCTTTGCACCACTTCTGCTCCAGAAAAGCTGATAACTTTATTTATTCTCTTGCATAAGGCCAGGACTATTGTAACAGTATTATTTCTTCAAGCTCTGTGTCTAAACCACTCCTGCTTCCTAGGCTTGTTTTCTTGATTTTACTTACTTTTTCCATTTGTAAGGTTACCTAATCGCAAACAGCTCAAGGCAGCATACAAGAAGGATTAACAACCCTTCATAACTAAGAACTAAGAATGAAAGTAATAGCCCATGCCAGGGATATACAAAAAACTTACAATCCCTTAACAATCTAGTGAGTTTATAAATAATCCTAGCCAAGATCTTGCTGGCGGAGCCAAATGTTCAAAGCTTTCCTGAAGGACAACCAGATCAGGGCCATACAAACCTCAAGAGTGGTAGCAGGAGTGGCAACAGGGAAGACACACCTTCTGGCTCCCATAA